CTCTTCAGTGGGCTAGAGTTTCATTTGCAGAATTTAAAATGATCCATGTTTGTTGCTGGTACTTTCTGGACATAGTCCTGCCTTCTATCTCATGTCTGCCAAAGTTCTGCCTCCGGCAGCAATGTAAGTTGATAGTTCAATTTCTACAACTGTTGTTTTAGAAATTGAATTGTGTTGGGGTTTTTTTCATTCAGTAGTGAATTTAGTCCAACACCTAGCTTCTTGCCTCAGCTGAAGAGCTACTGGATCAATGAAGCTCTGTCATTCTGAAATCTGTGTCATGTACCCTTACTAAAAATTATTACCATTTCTGTATTTTTTTACAATCAGACTCAACTTTGAAAGTACTTATAATACACTCTTATTTTTAAGGGCTATTTTAAAAACAGAATTTGGACTGCTACTACTCCAATATTAGACATTTTAGTTTTCAGTATTTTATAAATGCTTTATTAAAAGTAATATAAATAAATTTGTTCTTCTAACCATCGGGAGTTTTAAATTTTGTTCTGTTTGGTCAAAAAACAACTCCCTGGCAAAGTGATTATTAAACAGTCTTAAAATCTCATTCTATATAAAGAAAACTAGTGTCAGGACAGCCTGACACTACGTGTGTCCTGGAAAAAAAAAAAAAAAAAAGCAGATACGAATTTGCTTAGAACAATGGGCCACATTTTAAAGTGTAGGGCCTAATAAAAAACTGAGTTAAAAGAAAATGCTCCTATTGAATTCAGTGGCATTTGGATCCATTTCTTGATATTTAAAAGTAAGAAATTGTATCCAGACAAGTTCCTTAATGAACTGCCCAGTTTTCATAAGCTTGTAATGCTTAAGAAGAAACACGCAAGAAATTCAAACTATTCAAAATGAAGGCATATATTCACAGAGTCTAGCTGCAAACATTTCGGTTGTAAGAGGATAGGCCATGATTTTTCAGTCAGAAACAGCCAAGTAGTTAAATAAGAGAAGCAGGACTGGTAGTAGTAACTGAAGAGATGAAAGAAAGAGATGGAAGTTGACAAATAAACTAAGTTGTATCCTTGCTCTTTTTTTGCATAAATCACAATTATATAGCTGATACTCTCTTATTTGATCTCTTCTTGAATAGGTGCGTTTTTAACAGATTATCACAAAACAAGTGTGCAGCTTATGGCTTTAAACAGATGTTCATTTCTAGTAGTGACATTTCTCTATCACTAGAAATGTTTCCACGAAAGGGAGCAAGCAGTACAGGGGTTCAGCCTACAACTCTCCCTTCTCCATTGCTCCACATGCCCTCCTCAATCTGGGATGATCCTGGTCCAGGAGAAGCATGGAAAGCTGGCCTGCACCATTTCTCTCGTTCATGGTGGACTAGAGCAGTGGGGCAAAGCCCCCCCTACCTGCTCCTTACACCAGGGGAGCAGGCAGCAGCAGCAGCTTGGTCTCAGCAAGGCACAATGAGCCTTTCCTCACTGCTCAACTCTCCCTGGGTGTAGGAGAAGGCGAGCAGCAGCTGCTCCCCCAATTTTCCTCAGTTAGGGTGACCCCAGTCCTAGAAAAAAAATATATGGAACTCTTCTCTGCCACTCAATTCCTGGTCCCTGGGAGAAGTCAGCAGCAGGAAACTCCTGGGAGGGGCGTCTACCAGGTCAGAGACAGGTTATTTTTGTTCTGGGAGAAACAGTGAGTGCTTGTCTAACTCATGGTCTCTACTGGGAGAGCTGAAATTTTCCCCAGTAGAAACGTAACACCAGTACATGGCCATAATCGCTATAGAACAAATCAGAAATATGCACGTCCCAGGCAATAATTTCAATGCTGAAAGTGACAAAAATGATCATAGGAATTACTTAAGCTAAGCTCACTTCAGAGCTATTAATCGTTTAAAACAAGCATTTGAAATAGATTTAAGATCCAGAAAATCAGATGGCAAGGATTATAATCAGTAAACTGTGAAGAAAAACTGAGTTTCACTAATCTATTATTAGTCTTTGGGCATATTAATGAAATTATAGATTAAAAGAACAAGTTGGCAATTCATTTAGATTTTCAAAAAAATTATTTGACAAAGGCTGTCAAACATAATCCTTTAAGGAAACTAAGCAGCCATGTGGTGATAAGCAAAGCTCTATTGTGAGTCAGAAAATGTCTAAGATAAAGCACCACATTTTTATCATGGGTATATGTTAATATTTTTCTTTTCAGGTTCCACAATAGACTCATACATTATGTCACTTACTTGGAAAAAGACCAAAAGAAGAGAGCAGTAAAGTGGCAAAAACTGTAAATTATTATTTGGTTAAATACAGACCAAAATCAGACTTAACAAATTAAGTACAAGGGTAAGGTGAAGGCAGAAAGTATATTAAATAGGAACAATTTGAGCCACTTAACGACACTTTAGCCAGTTCCAAATTAACTCACAACTCAAGAAAAATATATTAATACGTTCGCTGTAAACCTCTGCTTTACTACTAGGGAACCTGAGAAGGACTTTACTTATAAAGAGATGAAAACAAACTAAACTGTTTGAAAGGAAATATATACGTGATGAGAGGTCAAAAGAAGGTAAAAGTCATACTTGACATTATTATTTATCCTCTTTCATAGTTTCATAGTTTCAGGGTCGGAAGGGACCTAATAGATCTTCTAGCCCGACCCCCCGCCAGGGCGGGAGAACAACCCAAAAACACAAACAAAACCACTCACCCTAAAAACAAAAACGGGACTCAAATGAGTCCAGCCAGGTAAGTATCCAGCCTCTTCTTAAAGATCCCCAGGGTAGGGGCCAGCACCACCTCCCTTGGAAGTTGGTTCCAGCTCCTAGCCGCCCTGACTGTGAAGTAGTTTTTTCGGATGTCCAATCTGTACCTCCTCTCCATCAACTTGTGCCCATTATTCCTTGTTATGCCAGCAGGGGCTAGGGGAAACAGCGTCTCCCCCAAACCCTTCTGGTTCCCCCTAGTGAGTTTATAGACGGTCACCAGGTCCCCCCTCAGCCTTCTCTTGTGGAGGCTGAATAGGTTCAAGTCCCGCAGTCTCTCACTGTAGGGTCTGCCCTGTTGTCCCCGGATCATGCGGGTGGCCCTCCTCTGGACCCTCTCCATGTTGTCCACATCCCTCCTGAAATGGGGCGCACAGAACTGGACACAATACTCCAGCTGCGGCCTGACCAGCGTCGCATAGAGGGGGAGGATCACCTCCCTGGCTCTACTCGAGATGCACCTGTGGATGCACGACAAGGTCCGGTTAGCCCTGCCAACCATGACCTCGCATTGTCGGCCCATGTTCATCTTGGAGTCAATAATGACACCAAGATCCCTTTCCGCCTCCGTGCTCTCAAGTAGGGAGCTCCCCATCTTATAAGTGTGCTGCTGGTTCCTACTACCCAAGTGCAGCACCCTGCACTTGTCCGTATTGAAACACATCCTGTTCCTGTTTGCCCACCCCTGTAACCTATCCAGATCCTTCTGCAATCTCTCTCTCCCTGCTAGCGTGCTCACCTCCCCCCAAATTTTGGTGTCATCAGCGAATTTAAACAGGTTGCTTTCCACCCCAACATCAAGATCGCTGATGAAGAAATTGAACAGCGCAGGCCCCAGGACCGAGCCCTGGGGGACTCCACTACCCACCTCCCCCCAAGTCGAGTATGATCCATCCACCACCACCCTCTGAGTGCGACCCTTCAGCCAATCTGCAATCCATCTGACCGTGTAGGCGTCTATGCCACAGTCGCCTAGTTTATTAATTAGGATGGGGTGAGAGACGGTGTCAAAGGCCTTGCTGAAGTCCAGAAAGACTACATCCACCGCGACACCTGCATCCATGGCCTTTGTGACCTGATCATAAAAGGCAATCAGGTTGGTCTGACATGATCTCCCCCTAATAAATCCATGCTGATTGCCCCTGAGCATCATCTCGGATGCCGGCCCATCACAAATGTGCTCCTTGATGATCTTCTCAAAGAGCTTCCCCAGGATTGAGGTAAGACTGACGGGCCTATAATTGCCCGGGTCCTCCCTTTTCCCTTTCTTGAAGATGGGGACCACATTAGCTACCTTCCAATCGTCTGGCACCTGGCCCAAGCACCACGATCGCTCGTAGAGCCGTGCCAGGGGCCCTGCAATAACCCCAGCTAGCTCCCTCAGCACCCTGGGGTGGAGAGCATCCGGACCCGCTGACTTGAACGCGTCCAGCCCCTCCAGAAGCTCTCTAACCCGGTCCTCCCCAACCTGAGGTCTGAAGGCGATCCCCTCGCGTCCGGCTTCTATCACAGCATGATATAATGCAACACACTGGGGTGCTGTAAATTTGAAAGAGAACAAAAATTAATGGAAAGGAAATCTCTTTTCTAAAAAAATTGCACAAATAACTTGAGGCACACTTTCATACAGCATTAGAAACGCAACAGTAGGATATAAGAGGACTGAACATTTATAAGGACACTATGCCTCCCTGCTCACCTGGTACAGGCAGCTTGGGCCAAGGGGGAGTTCATGGAGGGGGTGCAAAGCATCCAGGGATGCTGGGAGACTGAGTTAACTTGAATTTAGAGGGTATCTGGGACAGAAGTTCAATAAACTGATTCAACTTAAATCAGTTAAGTCTGATACTACATCCATCCAGGTTCATCTTAAACCAGTTTTGGCCATTTTGAAAGTGGTTTATGTGCACCGAACTTCAGTTGGATTACAGATCTGAACTGACTGCTGATCACTTATACCGGTTCGCGTGTAATTTCTGTCCCTAGCCCTAATGGCATGCCAACTGATGCCACAATTATGGCTTGGTGTTAATGAATAGATCATTTTCTTATACTTCTGGCATCTGAATTCAAAAAGCAGTAAAATCAGATAGTGAGCAATGTAAAGAATGTTAACAATCCTTTAAGAAATGAAAGGCTACGGCAACCCATACTCTTCCTTGTTTTTAAATCAATTAACCATTGATTTTTCTGGCATATGAAAGAACTCTACAAAACTTAATTTTATTTTCAAGTACTAACACTAGAAAATCTTACTCTGTATTTACAGTTAATGTTCTGTATAGCAATTAACCTCAAATTAAAGAATATTTAAAACAGTCATGATTGCATAACTTTTCTACTTTAAATTATTAACCCAATTAGTGCTTTATTCACATTTTAAAAACTTGTACAATTTATTACAAATATAAAACAGTGCAGTTTTCCATACAGTATCCCAACTCTTGAGACAAACACTTAAAAGACATGGAAAAAGATTTGATTTCTATAAACATAACATTTGCATTACACCCTTATTTTCATTGTATTCCCCTACCCGATTTAAAAAGATCAAACATACAACATACTGTAGGTTTATTTTTATTCAAAAAGTTACTGTCTCAAGACATAAATACAAATCAGAAAACAGTACAATTAGGACAATAGAATGTGGAGGACAACAGGTTAAGGTAAATATATAAAACATTTTTAGCTGGTTGAAAACATAAAGCTGTAAGAACTGCTTTCACAAAGAAACACTCCTTCAAGAGTAAGAAAAAATCAACTTAAGTTTAAAATCATATATACAGTCCTCTCAGCAGTTCTATTAAATGCAGTGGTGTGAAAAACAATATAGGCAGTACTTTTAGACATGAGAATATTTATTTACGTAAAATGAGTTAGGCAGAATTGGTTTTGAGTTTGTTGTTACCCCATGATTTAGTAAAATAATTATATTTTATCATGATCCTTTAGATAACCTATGGTTTTTGGCTACCACAGCCCAATGTTTATTTTCTGAATCTAGAAACAGGAAGCCTTTTTGTATTCACCCATTTGGGGAGATTCTTGTATTGCAAGCATATTAAGGCATGGAATGATTAAAATAATATACCTCAAGAACTGAGAGACAACTGACAAAAAATATACATATGTAATATAAGTTAATATTTCCTTTAAAATGATGTCTAGCTGCCTAAGCCTTGCAAAATGAGTTGATGTCAAAATGGCATAGATCCACTTTCTGTTTTAGACTGATTTAATTTATTTATGAAAGGACACAAAATGAAGTTTAAAGCTTAGCTTTCAAAGAATATTATGGGTTGTTTATGAATTTCTATTATCCAATCTAATTTACATACAGAGGAAATGTACTGTAACCTGTTAGAAGTATCTTTAACCTGAAGACTGCTTGCAAAGACAGATAGATAAAACAATATAAAATACAAATTTAAAAATCATTTTAAAGCATGAATTCTCATGCTTTTCTATTTTTAAACATTGTTAAACTTTCAATATATTTCTGAAACCTCATAATTTTAAGTTGGAATTTAAAAGTAAGAAAAAACTAAACAAACTGCGCAATTATAAAATCAGCACCAATTTATATATATATATAATTTTATTTAAAATTTAGATCCCTATTCCCACACTCTAATAAGCTGTATAATTTTTGTTTAGAATTTTTCTGCAAACATACTACAATAAGCTTCTTTATTTGGAGACAAAATACAGTGGCACTACTGGAAGGAATTTCACAACATTACATTTTTTCTTAAAGGACAAGCAAACTTTCAGGGTTGATAATGGGCAAGCAAGATTGAGTTCTGTTGCTTTCTGGAAGTTCGTGGTTTCTGGACCTTTCAGAGAAGGTTATAGTGATGCTTTTGGATTTGAAAAACATTTTAAATGAAAAAAGTGTCGATAAAATTTTTGCTATGTTTACTTTTTTATGTGGTTATCATAATTAAAACAAAGCTTCTCTTGATGCAATTTAAGCATTTAATTTAAAATGTCAAAACTTCTGGTTCTACTACTCTACAAAATCAATCCATCTACCATTTCAGTCCACAGATGTAAACAGGAATCCAGCAGAGCTCATGATTTAGTACAACCAGGCAAAGAATAAAGAGAGGGCCTTAACAAATTGGTATCAAACCCCTCTCAGACTTTTAGATCAAAACTAAGGAGGCAATACTTGTTATGATTTGGAAATAAACTGGTAACACATAAATAAAATATTGGTTTTCCAACAAAAACTGTAGCTTATCCGCAAATTGTTTACTTGTCCTTTACATTTCATTTTTCAGGCAAACAAAACTGCCCCTTCAATGCACTTGATCTTGAAAGCATGTCATTCTCCTTAGAGAAAAATCTGTTCAGAATTTCACTGTATCTACCACAATTTTGTATTTAAAAACTTCCTCTTCCACTTAGAAAATGACTTCACCACTGATTTATTTGCTGATCTGGTATTAAAACATTGACACCCCAAGAACCTAAAAGAGAAAAATATGTATTAAAAATGGCCTGGCATTCAATTTATAGTTTTCTGCATTTTCTAACATACATGTAAAAAGAGTAAGACAAGATTAGTGTACAGATTAAATGTCATGTTAAGGCACAAATACATGCCTTGAACATATTTACGGTTTTTATCCTTCCCTCATTCCAAAATTAGCCATGATGCAGAGGAAATTGCAAAGTCTGTTGTAGTGTTGAAAACAGAACAACTCGTATTTATTAGAAGATCCCAAGAAATTAAAACGTAGGTCCATCAAAAAGCAGCACGGGTCTTCATCATATTCCTATGAATTTAGGTAATAGCTGAAAATTAGTAAGTTTTCCATGAGTTAACTATCTGGAGTTCTTTGAAGAGGACAGCTCCACAGGCTCAAATCTGAAGTTGAGTGCCATGTTGCGCAGTCTCCAGAATTGTTAGAGAGCAGTTAGTCTGGGATGGGGTAGTCTATAAGCATGCATTGCCTGGTGCAGAGACTATGTCTACAAAGAAGACATCTTGTCCCTCAGTTGCTGTCCAGGATACAGAGACTAAATAGCAGGTATCAATGGAGGCAACATTCAGAAAAATCCAACTAGTCAGTAATCAGATAAAGCCAAAGCCTCCTCACTTGACAGACATGATTAAAGTGAAGGAAAGCTTGATCAGGATGACGTATCTGCTCACACTTCTAGGAGACATCCAACAACAGGGAGAGCAAGGAAGAAGTTTCCTAAGCCACTGAAAGCAGGTTCCACCATTGGCGAGCCCATACCAAGAACATCAGGATCATGTGCTCATTTTCCTGCCTTGCTTTGTATTGGACTTTGAGGATCAGAAAGAGCAGTGAAGATGCATAAAAGAAACTTCACTTCCTACTGCAGCAAGTAGTTATCTGGTACTGCTGGTAAGGTACCTCCCCCTCTGGATCTAAACCATCTCTTACCATTGATCTTGCTACTAAAACAAAAGGAGTCACTCAGCATGCAACAAAAGTAAATTATACAACATGCACACACAGAAATACAGTGTGATGAGGTATCAGTTATCCTAGGTGTCATGGACCACAGAACAAGTACTGAAGAACTGGGGAGCCACTGCGACTCTCTTACAAACTAAAAATCAGTTCCAAATAATAGCTGTCTGGACAATGTGTGCACACAGGTTATGATGGGTCCACCCTGTGCCTAACTGCTTTAATGATCCCATGGTCCATGCAGAAGGGCACAAACTCCAGGAGTGGGGGCATCTGGGGATGCGGTTACATGAAGAAACTACAGCAACCCTATCCAGAGGATTTTTTTGGTGTGTTTATAGAAATTTGAGCACATAAATTGATTTATGTAATTAAAATATCGATACAAATTTCAGCCATGTTTTTATATGGACTAATCATTACCTTTGAAATAACTAATAGCCCAACAATAGATTTGCCTCAATTTAAACAATGTGATTCAGCAGTCTTAACACATTTCCTTAATTCATTTTACATACTCTGAAAGCTCTTTGCAGTAGTAAAATTGTAATATGCTGCCATCGTGTGGAATCACTGCCAAACTGCAGGTACAGGTGTATGTTTTACTTTATGCTCTATTTTATGGTGGAAAGCCTGAGCCATAGTATGTGTTCTGTGCATGTTTGCAGAGAATAAGGGGTTTATAAGATAGATGGCAACAAAAAAAAAAAAAAAAAAGGGAAAACAAACCAATGTAAAAATTATTAGATGAGTGATTTTGACGCTGGAACTGTCAGAGTAGAAACACTGTAACAGTGCATTTTGTTGACAGTAGAACAGTTATAGCAAGTTAATGAATGCTGAAAGTGATTACTTCAGACAGATGATGAAAAGATTACTAGTAGAGTTCCATGGTTATCGCTTTGTGAAAAGCAAGGATAAGGACAAAACACTGAAACTTAAATATGAAATGAAAGTTTTCAAGAAGTAGGTGCACTAAATCAGTTACCTGAGGAACACATGAACAAGTAAGCGAGGAAATCTTTAAGTTATGTTCAGGGAGCTTATGTGCGCGCACACAAATTTTTCAGGATGCTCAGGACACCCTCTTGATGCCCTTACCTGCCAAACTGGCTGTCTATTTGCTAGAGCTTGTTACTGCCCATTCAATGTTGTCATAAACGAGTGGAACTAAAGTTTCATAGTTTTAGGGTCGGAAGGGACCTAATAGATCTTCTAGCCCGACCCCCGCCAGGGCGGGAGAACAACAAAAGAACCCTAAACAAAAAACGGGACTCAAATGAGTCCAGCCAGGTAGGTATCCAGCCTCTTCTTAAAGATCCCCAGGGTAGGGGCCAGCACCACCTCCCTTGGAAGTTGGTTCCAGCTCCTAGCCGCCCGAACTGTGAAGTCGTTTTTTCGGATGTCAAAGTTCATAGCTTACCCGGCTGACTTAAGATGACAAATTCATAAGAGTGCGTTGCAGACAACAGAAAAAGTAAGGTGGAGAAAAAGGGGAAAGGGTGGCAGTGAAAATGGGAATTACAGAAGCTTTAGCTCCAAAGGCAGCTAAAGCCTAATATGGAAAATGAAAATACCTGCGCTGACTACAAAGGTAAGGAAAATACACTGAAGCATTTCTCTTCCATTTAGATTCTCTTTAACCTATTTAACACAAGTAGTGTGGGGTGCATATACGCTGATTGGTTTGGAGGTCCCAACTATCTTACTGTTGATAATTGGCTGTAACATCACCAGAATAGCTTAGCTGGTCACAAATGTTTCTTGATCTTAATGTTCAATTACACTTTAAAATACACAAATAACTGCTCCCTAAGAAATGCCTTTCCACGATCTAAGTAATGCCCTCTTTTCGAGATGAAGGGCTTTGCTTTTGACCAGCTGAAGTAATACTACACGGAAAACATGAAAAATTAGATACTTGCAAATTTGACACACACAGTGTAGTATTTCTGTCGTGTCTACTTAATATGTTCAAGATTATTATTTATATCACATACATATCTGGGATGAGAAACAATCACTATCAATAATATGAAGCATCACAATTTCATAACGTACAAAAAACTAGAACTCTTGATTCCAAAATGATACCTTTTATTAGACCAACTGGACAATGGCAAAAAAATTGTCCTTTTCTGCAAGCTTTCGGGATCGAAGTCCCTTCATCAGGCTCTGGGAAAAGTGGTAGATGGTACAAGATGGTAATAATTCCCCTTGTACCATCTACCACTTTTCCCAGAGCCTGATGAAGGGACTTCGATCCCGAAAGCTTGCAGAAAAGGACAATTTTTTTGCCATTGTCCAGTTGGTCTAATAAAAGGTATCATTTTGGAATCAAGAGTTCTAGTTTTTTGTATGTCTTTTTGTCTCAGACCAACACGGCTACCAAGTACACCCCTGAAACAATTTCATTACTGTATTTTCAGCATTAGACTTTTTTTTTTTTTTTTTACAAGTGAATTTCAGCCCAAAGCTGAATATCAGTTGTACATACATTAATGACAACTTAATACTGAAGCAAATACAAATCTCTGATATTCCATTCCAATTATACACATTCCTATAGTTCAGTCTTATGATTGGAATTTAGGTTTAACTTTCCCTTCATTTTACTAAACCTACCGATTCATCCATGATTGAAGCAGGGTCAAAGAAATCTGGTTTTAGCTCCGTTCTTTCTCTCCGATTCTTTGATGGTGGCTAAAAAAAGCAGCAAGAAATGAATGATCATCCAAAACACTAATAGTAATTCAAATTAAAGAGAAACAAAATTTCTCTTTTACTAACGGTAGATGTTGACTGAAAAAGCGTAAACGCTTATTCCTAGGAAAATACTTATTCCTATTGAACTATTTCACACGCACACCGTTTATGGCAAGCGAATAGTAAAAATGGTAAGAAGAGTGACAAATTATTTTAAAACACATTGATTCAATAAAATAAAATGTCAAGAAAACTAGTAACTACAAAAAAATGCACGGTCAAGATGCCAACATTTGCAGCAAAGTTGACTTGTTAAAGCCAACTTTTTTCTTCAAAATACAACCACTACGTGTTCTGCTGTGCAAAGAACACTGAAATATAAGAACTGATTAACTGCAATACCAGGTTTAATTAAAATTAATATAGTTTTAATTTGCTTACCAAGTCTATATCCATGGTGTCAAAATCCATGCCTTCATTAAGGTCTTCAATTCGCCCTTCTGATGACATCATTACATCTTCAACAATTGGCTCCTCATCATCTTCCATTAGGCTTGTACCACGCCGACTGCAAAAATGTAAAGAAAATATACTTAATACTGACCTGAAATATTAAATGTGTAGCAAAATTATTAGGATTTCCTGGAACCTAACGTAGAGCTGGATATAAATTACAATTGTACTGAAAAGTACTGGTAAAAGCATGGACAGAGGTTGAGGGAGGATCTAGGGGCCCAATCCAGACTATGGTCTGCATGGTCCAGGTCCAGCATGTTCTTTGAGTGAAGTCCTAGGAGGACAATCCCCTGCAGTGTTTTGTGGGACTGTTGGCACAAGTAAGGGCTCAGTGGCGGGGGAGGGGGGTGGAGGAGGGGTGTTAGAGTGGCGAGTGACTGATGTGCTGCTGTCTCACCGACAGGTTGGCAGCAAGAGCCTGCTCTTTGACAGCCCCAGTGGCCACTCTTCTGTGTGGGTCACTGCACTGTTTGTTGTTAACAGAGAAGAGAGTTTTTGGGTTCGCATTGTTGTATATTTTGTTATCGGTTATTGTTGTATAATATAGTTGGTTTTATTCTCCCTATTTTTGATTATTTGCCAATTTGTTATTTTTAGCACAGGGTAGCACCAGGCTGTAGGCGACCACCTTGATGAAAGGTCTGCCCACTTTCCATTTATTAACTGTCTGTCAATTAGCTAATCAACCGATAGGCTAATAGCTCTGCAGCACTCTCACACGACTCCTACAAGCACTGGGCCAAGGAAAAAATAAAAATAAAAAAAGAACCCCTCTCTTATGAGTAAAGCCATGGATGAGGAACCAAAACCACCCACAATTTCAGTAACTTTACTCACATGGCATGCTGAAGGTTGGTTCTCAGTTTGACATAGTTCATTGCTGCCCTCTCCTGCTGTTGCCTAGCTGCTTCTTCTTGTTGCCTTTGGGCCAACATCCACGTTACCTGTGTGCTTAAAAGGAATTTTACTTTCCTTTAAATGTGAACTAGATTTGTATTTGAGCAGTAGTACAATATATTAATTCACCATTTCTACATACTTGTAATCAAGTGGAGCTTGATGGTGTTCAGGCTGCATAGGATAGACGCCCATGTAATTCTCTTCAGGTCGCAATCTCTTGGGCTCTCTCATGATTGTGGAAGTGAGCTGTGGAGTCTGCATCATGACTGGTGTGTGCATTGTCTGCTCCCTGTTCAGCCACATGCTATCACTACTACTGCTTTCTTCAGCTGGAGAACAGAAACAGTATTAACATATTATTTTTTCAAGTCCAGCTAAAAATGAAGTTACTTAAACATAACTTAAGAAATACATAATACTTTTTAAGAACATTACAATTTGTTTTACCAAAGTCCAATTCCTTAACCATTAAGGAACTTATTAAAATAAGCTCCAAAAAACCTTGACAACTGACCACTGCAGTAACTGTTTGAAAACCCTTTCGATTCTGTACTTCCAATTAAGTAATTAGATTGCCTTTTATTTTCTCTAAGCATTTATGTCATATCATAGCACGAAATACATAAACAAAAATTAGGATTTAAAAATATTATAGAAGGTCAGTAACTAATGTAACAAGTATAAAAATACAAAGCTAGAGCCTTGGTTTATTTAGTAGGTTCTATTAATTTTGAAGAGGTACTTGAGTATACTTCATAATAGAAAAGTTCACACCTTCAGGTACTTTCCGCTTCCCTGTTGCTGGCTTTGTTTTCTTATTTCTTACTGTAGAGCCTCGACTGCTGATTCCACTAATAACTGACATAGTATCATCATCACCTCCAGCTAATAAAGAGTTCCTGTAAGACATGAGTGGAAGCCACACATCTTCTCTTCGTAGAGACATCTGAAAAGTCATGAACTTCTCCAGGTAAACATACCTTTAAAAAAAAGCCAACCCAAATGATTAAAAACATTCAAAGACTTCTTCAACAAGCTATTCCCATATTTCAAAGTACACATAAGTTGATTACTCAAATCTGAATCAGCATGGTCTTCATGCTTTCCTCATCTAACAGATATGTCCAATCTAAAGTTAAGAAAATTAGGAACAAATATACACAAGTTTTTCCTTAGTTCTTAATTGACTGTGCTGGTATTACTCCTATAAGAAGTAGGGAACTCTGCTAAAATACTTGGTCATCGTTATGATTTTCTATTACTTTTCAGGATTACTAAAATGTACTGCAGTATTAGCAACAGAAACACTATGCCTATCTAATGCTAAAGAAGGCAATAGTTAAAGATTCCCAACTAAGACATTTCAAATATTTATTTAAAACTTCAAAATATTAAAATAGAAATACTTACACTGTTCTTTTGTCTTGTCTGAGAAGTTTGGAGGAGAACTCACTCAGAATATCAAGAAATGCCAAATTTAAAGGTGGATGGCTCTCACCCTGTGGATTAGGCTCTTTAAAAGCAAATTCTATGCCATCTCTGGAAATAAGTTTAAGATTTAGAATCAGAATAAATCTCTCTACAAAAGAGTATCAAATACAGTTTTCCACAGGATTCCCTCCCAACAACATTCAAGTACCAAAAAGTCCCTAATGAGTTGTATTACTCTTCCATGAACAAAAGTTTCTAGGTCAAAAAAAATTCTTCCAGATATACTAAGTGTGACCTCCTTTAATAACAATCCTTAAGATCTGTCAATGCTACTCCTAGATCAATAGGAGATGCTATCACCCAATTCTCCTTAATCCTCTGAACTCAGAAAACAAGCTTCGTCCTTCCAAATGACAAAATCCACTCTTACCAGTAACCAACGAGACCAATTCTAGCTGTCAACAATCAGAAGTTTAAAACTATTTTTTTCACGACCTAATACAGAGGTTTCACAGGATCCTAAAATGTGGCTGATGAGCTATAACCATTCAGTACTTTAGCTTTGATCTTGCCATGGCACGGTCAGACCCCCACATTTGGCACGGTGCAATCACATGCATCTAAAATTCTGAAAAACCACTAACAATAGAAAAAAACTCTTGTTCACTAAAAAGAGATCAGTGCTAATTGAAGAACTTTCATTTTGCCAATGCATTTTGGATTAGTACACCACTTCGATGAGCTCCCCAAATTTCCTTCTTTAAATCCTGATGTTAAAACACTGACTTAAAATCAGCAGCTTTTTCAAATACAACGAAAGTCAATTACTTGTGTAACATTGCAATAGCTTCTCTTGTTTTGAGCTGATCAAGTCCAAATGTTAAAGCAAAGCGCCGAGCAAGTTCCTTAATGCCACTGAACGTTGGTGACGATCTGTCAAAGTTGTAACCATTTTCTTGAATCATCTCATTGAAGAGCTGTATAAAATAATCAGGAAGAAAGATATTTACTGGTTAACAAAAAGATAAAAATAGACAAAACTTGATCAAGAACTACATGATTCCCACTCCTGTAATTTGAAGAAAATGAACTTTTCATAGTTAGACAACATAAACCTACGTTTACACAAGCGCAATTTCTGGACTATTCAGAACTGTTCTTTTAAGTACACTGTCTAATATTGTGCTTAGTCTCAAAACTTATATCCTGGACAACATGACTTTCAGCACATTCTCAACCAAGCTACTTAACATTTAAGACACCTTGTTCTTTCAGTTTTTCTGACAGTTACCTTAGATCAGTGCTTCTAAACTAGGGTGTCACAACACCCTGCGGTGCCATGAGATGCTTTTAAGAGTGCTGCAGGGTGCTCATCCCTGCACAGCCGTGAAGTCCTCGCTTCCCACCCCTTTCCCACTGTATCCTGTGAGAAGTGGTAAGCACTGCAATAAATGCATTATTTTGAAATGAGGAGCTACCTGACTCCCAACAATTATGGAGGGATGCTAGAGTCTAAAAAGGTTGAAAACTACTGCCCTAGATATTTCTCTTCCATCAACGTAGGTTTTTATGAAACCCCAATCACAGTAGTCTTTAAGTGCCTATTCAACATATACTACTATACATTACTAAGTCACCTTTGTAATACCATAAATCGATTTCCTTCTCCCAATCTTAAAAGTGAAATCTTGGCCTCACAGAAGTCAAAGCTTCCACTGACTTCAATGCAGCCCAGATTTCTTCCTTGGTATTTACATCCTTCAATTATGCGCAGACATCAATACTTGGCAAAGCTGCACACATCGAACTATTTTTACTCTCAACTCTTCCAGCTTCCCAATCATTTTGTCAGCATTCTCTATACATTTCACTTATACAAGTTATATAAGGGCTACAAACAGAATAATTATTAGCAACCAAGTCCATGAAGCATCTGTTTATAACAGAAAGAGGTCAATGATGTGCATATCACACTGCAAGGTTGTCTCCTAGTTTCTGTTCATAGCTCTACTTGAGTATCTTTTCGGCAAGATTTCTTCCCTATTATGTACTTCCATTGACACATTTTCTAGCATTTTTCTAAGTTTAATGTCTTATTTACTACAAACTGAATTCTTCTTATTAGCACTCCTCCTTACTGTCACTGGAACTCCTGTCAAGTCAGTATTACGTGGCTTTCATTACTGTACTGTTTACTACCTTTTTAAAATCATTAGGGCTATTTATAGAATGTGCAGAAGAGACAGATGTGATGGTAGTCATTCATGTGACATCAGAAAATGCTAATTTTAACCTATTGGAAAGAGTCAACAAAAACTGTATACAAAAAGTGCACGCAGGTTGTGGCTACTGCTCCGGTGGAATCCCAGAGTTCAAGTGGGAGTCAGCCCACCATTCAGACTATCTGAATGATGCCACTATCTGAAGAAAGAAACTACATTTTCACTTCACAGATGATGAAGCCTCTGCCAAATATTAACGCATAACAGAATAATTAAATACTGCAGAAATGTTTTCCTTCCTTTTTAGGACAAGCACAGTAAAAAGAGACTATTTTTCTTGTTGATTTAATCGAAACCTCATAAATGTTTTGAATTACAACACAATCATCACAATATTAAATTGAACAGGAGTCTCCAACTACTGTTTCAGAACTGAAAAACAGCATAAAGTCTCAGTGTCCTTCATTAGTTTTTACTCTTTTCCTCACCTTCCTTTAATATGTGCATTATTGCTAACATTACTGTTAACATACTGAAAACATTATTACTATTATTTAGATTTACATCCTAAGCAATCCAGTACGGCTCAGAGTAGCTTACGATAATAAAAATTATCAAAATAAGAAGATGCATGCATCAACACTTTTAAAGTCACCAAAGAAAATTATTGCAATGTGTTACTTTTAAGCTTAATATCTCCCTTTGACAGAACCCGCTACACACTATTTCATTAGTTCTTAACACTGCCTGTGTACAAAATGCATAGTAGAGCTGTTCTTGTATATAAAATATCACGGTACACAACTCTTACCTGCTGCAAACTAAGAATAAGTGTCTTTGCACACTGGATTTTGTCTATCTGTCTTGTTTTACTCATTGTTTCTTTGATAATATCTCCATAGTCGTTGTAATACTAGAAAAAAGCCATGAAAAACAGTTGAACTTTAGACAACAGTAAAACGTAGTTAACTGCACAGCACTTTAGAAGAGAACAATGAATTAAGTACACTCACGTACGTTCTACGAAATAAGAAGTGTTAAGCATTTTTTCCTCATTTGTTATCAAAACTATAAACTAAAAACTTCCCAAAAAGTACTGAAAAAATTGAGAAGCTTTCCACTGTCTTCATACTTTTGTTTATGTCAGTCATCTTTATACAGAGGCAGAATGACCTACTTAGTTTCAAGGCTGACCCTGAATCACATCTGTAAAATATACAATGAATAGCTGTATTGACTTTTGGGAGAGGAGATCTCATTAGCTGTTAAGACAAAAGGGGTATCCATCTTGCACTTCCACACAAGAGCTACCTAGCTTCCACAGCCTTATCCTTTAACTTGCCTGCACTATGGGCTACCTGCAGACATGAAACAAAATAAAACAAAAAAACCCCACATGCTTTAATAGAAGCAGCAGCGTGTCAGTTCGACCACCTCTACATCATCTGTAGAAATTGGGCGCTTCAATGGGGCTTTTTTGGCGCTTATCTAAAACTGATTCAATCAGCTACTAGATTAAAAAAAAGTCCGAAAAAGTCCCACTTAAGCACCTGACCTATACAGATGTCAGGTGAGCTGGGTCCACCTAATGCACTGCCTCTTCTTGGCATGCGCTGGGCTCAGCATGGGAACACAACAAGTTTCAGGTGAAGTGCCGTTTGTTTTTTTCTTTTAACATCTGCAAGCATCATGATGCTCAAATAGAGCAGCATGGAATATCTAATACCTGCTTACAAACCTGGAGCAAAGATTTAATTATGCCCCAACAAGAACATTCTAGATTAACGTGTGACTGGATACCTAGAAGATATTTTCTGTTGAATTAAGGCAGTGATAAGTCTAATCAGAAATATTTCTATCTGGTAGGAAAAGTCTCTCTCTCTCCCCAATCCAATGGGTTTTCCCTTATATAAAAGGTCAAGGGAAAAAAAGCATACTAGAATGGGATTCATGTGAAAAAACCATCATATTTCTCTGTGTTTGAATTTGAGTCATAATTTAATTGGTTTCTATACACCTAAACAAGTTGAAAAAGCCTGCTAACTTTCCATACTGAAATAAGGAGAGAAGTATATTGTACATCAGGAAGGGAAAATAAATATACCAATATGGTTAAAACTCAGTTCTACAGAATTTTTTATACAGCTGAAAGGAAAGCACAATCCATCAGAATAAATTTTTCCCCACGTGAAAAATATTCTGCGAAGTAGTAATTATTTTGGTTTTAAAATCTCTTTCGTATAAAGAAGCCAGTATCTGGAAAGGTCTGATGACAGCTAAAATGTCTTAGACTGAAGTTTTGTTTTGTTTTGTAATAAATGTTCACCATTTTATAAAGTGCAGTCTTCAGACTTACCTTCATATATTGCTTAAAAATATCTGCAGCAGTATTCATTTCCACCACAGTATATACAATAAGTTTACAAAAAGCTGCAAGCAAGTTTCTTCTTTTGTGCAATGCTTCAATCTTGCTAGCTTCATCATCTTGCTGTCCATCTAGAAAGAATTGAAAACAGTGAAATACCAGGTTATTATCTGGGGAGGCGAGGGGGTTGTTTGTCTGTGTGTTTTGGTTTTTTTGTTGTTGCTTGTGTTTTGAACTCAGAAATATTAACTTAGTGGTTTAACAGTTCCTAGCCTTTACCCTCTTTAAGTTAAGATTAGCATGAAGGAGCAAAGTGTGTTCTAGTAGTCAGGGTAAAGTAAAAGGAGTCAGGATTGAAGAGCTCTATTCTCAGATCTGTTAGCAGAATAATGGGGGATACAGAGGTTGTTTGGGCTGGAGTAGCAAATGCACAACCCTCTGCTACGTTTGCCATCGTGGTTAAGATTTCTGTGAAGACGTAAGATTAGAATGTGGCTAGAATTAAAATAACCAATTCAGACTTCTCTTGTGGCAGAACTGGTGTGTATAAAGGTGTGGTCAGAATGTAACGGTTTAATGTAAGCATGTTAAAGAACTGCTCTTTCATTATCAAACTGTAAAATTGCTGAAGCCTCTTTTAGCAAGTGTTAAATTGTGGTGACCTAGATATATTTCCACTAGAACTCCAAAGGTATTGTTTTTTCCCAGTTATTTAGCACTTGCTTTTCTTTTTCTTTTCAAGAAAAGAAGAGAAAATTAGATTATGTTGCACTTAAAAAAACAACACGTTAGAGCCCTTTGAGTAGCCTTCTTTATGCTTCGTGGAATTCTGTGAAAACTCCTTTAATTGTGGTTACTTGAGACCAAAATGAAAAGGTCTTATCATACCCACCTGTGGCTATCTAGTTTCCATTCTGAACCCTTATTAAACTAATAATTTTCTCTGTAAAATATTTATTAGTATTACTACAAGTGTATCCAAGAGAACCAAAGATAGCAGGTAATGAACAAACTATAAAGGTAACTAAAAGTTTCAATGTGCTCTAAGACACGGGATAACTGAAGCGCACACATTAATTTGGTCAAGGCTGATTAACTAACCCATTAAGTTGTCCTAAATTTTATGTAGTGCAGTTAACTTGCAAAAATTGTTACCACAGTAGGTGTAGAAGCAGAAAGTATACACCCCGTTTAAAAAGGAATTATACGAGTGGTGTTCAAGATCCAGCCCATGGGCCAGAACCAGGCCGTGAAGCTCCATCACCCAGGGCTGCTCCTGGGTCCGAGTTGACTCGCATGGGACCTGTTCCCAGACTTGGGCTAAATGCAGCACCTGCCTTAACCTAAACCAATGATGGTTGGTGCCACAGAAGGTATGAGGAGGAATAAATCATCTAGACAAGTCCTCTAAAACATCTACTTGCCACTGCCAGAGTAAGAGCACTGAGCTTTAGTCTTAGGCCGTTTGTAGATGAAATGAGGGGCATATGTGTACGACAGTTTAAAGCAGGTTAAATGCTTTTGCACTGCTTTAACGGTGTTGGTGTTTGCATGCGTCTGTGGCATATTGCGCCGCTGCAGCAAATTCAGCGGCGTAATGCGCCTTAAATGACTTGGGACACAGAAAACTAAAACTCCTCTGAGAGTTTCGTTTCAGAGGCAGCAGCACAGAAAGGCAGGCTCAGCCCAAGACATTTTTTTCCTTGGAGCCTGCCTGAGCTGGCAAGGGCCCAGTGCCTTCCTCCACAGCTGCAGTGCTCCCCAAGACCACCCAAGCCAGGTGCCTGCAGGCAGGGCCGCCACAGAGAGAAGCACCACCCTGCCCCAGCCCAGGGACCACTCTGTCCACCGGCAGCTCGCCCTCCCATCCCCACTGCCAGAGAGGCAGGTAAGTTCAGGTGTGTGCACAACATGGGGACTTGAAAGGCCCTAAACTGAAGTGGTGCTTTTGAAAACCTACTGCTTCAATTTAGTGGCCCTGCTTCATCTACACACACCCTTAGGTTCTAGGTTAACCAGTAAATCCTTCAGAGACCAAAAGAAAAGAATTGTCAAACGTGTTTTTCAGCTTTTCAAGAAAAACAATTTTACAAGATTTATAAATAGACTCATTCCTGGAATGGGAATTACACTTAGAGTGACTTAAAGATTTCAGTCTGCGGGGTAGGGAACAGCATGCTCACGCGCATGTTGCTCTTCATATTGATTTTCTACTCTTTCCGCTAGTCTAACTTTTAAGTATCTGAAAGGATGAAATATATGCTTCTTCTCTTTCACAGTCTAACAAGTCTGACTGAAATGTTTTCCTTGATATTATGTGTAATTTTTCTCTTCTCACATTAAAGACCAAAACTCTTATATCACACTAATTTCTTCCATCTATGGGTTTTTGCATTTGAATACTGATGAGATAATGGGCTAATAGAACTGTTCTTTCATTTAAAGACATGCATACGGGCAATTAGAAACATGGACACAAGCCAAGCGTGAAGCTAATATCCACATGACAAGTGTAAGTATGCTCCTTTCATCCCCTCACCTGCCCTGTACCTACCAATCTGAATTTCTACATTGCCTCCAACTGTGTTAGGGGGCCCCATGGAGAAAATGTGCCCTACCCACTTGCCTTTCCTCTAAGCTTGCCAAAGTCTGGAAAAAATGCAGTAGACATGTTTGGTATGTACCACTGACACTCAAGTTCAGGTACCGCCACTGGCATGCACCTAGCGCATGCTCTAATGGTGACTACATTTGTTTTTTTGGCATTTGACTCATGCAGCGTTGGAATAAAAAGGTGAGGCTGTTTTTACAGCATCATTCCCAAGAGTCAGAGGCAATGTAGACCTGCCACACAAATGCAACTTGTCAGGACAGAGGGCAGTAGACGTACATGAGCACACAAGCCAGAACAACATGGATATGAACACAAAGTGAGACCACACAGATGCACACACCTGCACTATTGTTGTCATCATCCTGGTCAATGAAGACATGATCTAAAATAAAGCTTAGCAGTTCAGACTGCAACGAAGAATCAGGAGTGTAAACAAGTGGCTCTAACATGTCTCTTCCTCCTGTCATAATCTGATGGCTGAAAATCATTAACACATCACACAGAATTGTGAAAGCCTGTTAAAGAAAAAACAAAAGACAGATGCATCCTAAATTTCTTCACAAACTAAATTCAATTTTCCAATGTATTTAAAAGACAAGCAGGTGCTAAAGTTTCCATAGCAGAAATTATTTGAAGTTCAAAGCTCAACCCTGCAAACCATGGAACAGGTGAACTGACATTCAATGGTACTAATTATGTAAACAAAAAGGTTTCTTCATATACGCTTGCTGCATTCGGATAGGACTCAGATAAGAACACTGCCAGAGACATCTGCTCATATACCTGTAAGATTCTGTGTGAAAGTTTAGAATTTAACTTAGTAGAAGTTCTAGCTGAAAGATATGATAACATCTTGTAAAGGAAACAAAAATGTAAAAAAGGTCCTCATTGCTATCAGAAAATATATGTAACTTTTTGTAAATGAAGTAAGTCCCTGAATACTTACTATGTACCCTTAGTAATTTCCCCATTTGCCTGGACCTTTTACACAGCAGCTGGGGGGGAAAATAGAACCTGTTCTTTTGCATGTGGCCCATTTGTTACACGTCTGTACAAGTGCACAAGAAAATAGCATCCTTCTAGTCATGGCCTTTCTAATCCCAGTCTCCTCACTCAGCCAGTCCCAGGATGCCTCCTCTCACCCCACCACCTGTGTCTTGTCTGTGTCGGCTGCTAGGGATGATTGAGGCACTAGGCACCAACACCCGAAGTAGGAAGACTGCAGGGTTGCCTGTTAAAGATGGGGAGAGATGCAGATCTTCCAGGACAAGAGCATCAAGGGAATCTCCTTCCTTGGATTCCTCCGAGGAAGATAAGTCATGAATTATTAGTGGGGAAAACCTTAAAAAATGACTTTGTGAACATACCACTGGGATTTGACACAGTCAAATTTAAAAGCAAATGTTTTAAAAGCAAACAATCTGCTCTGAAATGACTTAAAGCCATGATCAATCCAATCAACCAAACAAAGCATCAAGTTAACAAACAAACAGCCAAATTCATCTTCTGGAGAGTTGTTTTAAGCACACATACTCCTCAGATCAGATCCAAAGCGTTCGCAACCCAAAAATCTAATTACTTTTAATTGTATTTGACCTATTAAATAAAGTTAATTCTGAAGTAACCAAAATGCTTCCCTTCTGGGTGTGCACACATACTTCATATGCTTGAGGTTTTGGGGGCGGGTTTTTGGTTTTTTGTTGTGTTTTTTTTTACTGCCGTGCATGTACTGCATAAACCACCCACCAAGGACTTTTAAGGGTGGAGCAGGCTTATTGCACAAGAGCATTTTCTCCACTATGAACCTAAGACTGCAGAGATCTGAGAAAAACAGGATGGGAGACAGGGATGCAGAATGTGCATATATGCACAGTACATCTGACAGAACTTCAGTTATTCTAAAGTTAAGTAACATTCACGTGGCTGCCCATGTGCTACTCCACCATGGTGAACTCCAAAATAACAAACAGTCTCTTGAAGTGAAACCTCAGTCTTAGGAGACTGACATGCCTTTGCCCATACAGTTTCTGAAGTTTATGGACTGGATTATATATATAATGGTTTGTGAATGTGTGAATAAGGCTTGAGGGAGCTGTTTTACAGAGAACACAGAAAAAGGTGTCCATCCTAACCACTGCAAGGTAGCCAAGGTGGTCATAGAGTTCCACCTAAACCAACAGTTCAACCTTCAAATAAATTCTCTCAGTTTCATTCGCTCAGGACACAGACAAACACTTTGTGCCTTGAATACAAGACGTATGCTGGCCTTCTACTTACATGCGACAAAATCGTGAAAGTCTGCTTGGGTTTTAATGGAGTATGTTTAATGGTCTTAGGATGAATACTTGAATATGTCATTTCTTGTCTTCATCAACAGAAATTCACTTGGAAAATCTCTGTAAAAAACAGCCCCAGCACCTCCACGCCCCCTGCCCCATCCTCTCAGATCAAGGCGCTGAGATGACCCACACTCCATGAAGTAGAAGGATCTCAGGTCTGAACATAGGATACATTTTTCACCCAAGATAAAAGATCCAAATTTGTTATTAGTGCTTTTGGGTTTTCTAGAGATGCATGCAAGATGTCCTGGACATGAGGCTGATTACAACAATTTGCCCAAGAGGCAAACACATCCCTATCTTTGTGGGTTTGGAAGGTGAAGAATTTGCAGACAGAGCAATTTCCCAAATCCATGACTTCTCAGGCAGAAGAGACACCAAAATCAAGCATTCATGCTGTGTGCATCATATACCTATGCTGACAACACCAGAATCACTTTTTATTTTTATTTTTTTAAACAGCTTTGAAAGTATTATGAAAAAGTACAGCTAAGGACAGTCACTAACCTGCTCTTTGACAGCAGTGTTTACATTGGTCAGATAGTGCTGACAGATTTGGCAGAACACCCTCATCTGCTTCTTCAAACGTAAAAGGTCCTCCTTTAAAATAAAGCATTTTACAGAGTAATTAAACAGATGAAGTTTTACATTTTTAATGAAGAATATTATATGCTTTCCCAGAAATCTATAGTTACATAATTTGCTCAATAAAAATAAATACAAAAAAGTGAAATACAAAATGTGTGTTCTATTTTGCCAAGGTTTTTCAAAATTTTGTCTAATATATCCAGTGCTCTAAAGTATCATTAGAAAAAGAAAACAGACAATATAATTTCTCATTTGACAACTTTCAGCAAGGAGTTAGAAGATTATTCAACTGCTGTTAACTTTAAAATAATTCTTTTGGTTCCTCTCCATTAATTCAACAGAGCATAAATTTTTGGATGAAGGTTTAATGTTTTTGTGGCAACACAATAAAAGAAAACCCAATACAATTCAATTCCAACATAACGACACTAACCAACCCGAAGTTTATATCCCCTACTGCTGCGCTGTGCAAGAATTCTAGAAGACTTTAAAGAAGGGTCAGCACTCTCAATCATGATTTGGGGCAGCATACCCAGCATCTCTCCTCTTCACACAGCAACCAGGGGGGGTTAAAAAGTTCCTAGACATGCTGTAGTTTCTAACAGGAAATTAATCTTGCACAATTCCATGAAAACTAATTTTCTATCAGATATCTGAGGAATGGCCCCGTGGTTAAGTGCAAATATCTAAATTGCTAACCCTACGGTGGCATGACATACCTTTGTGGAGCTGCTTTCACTAATTTTTGCTAGCTGCCAAAGGATTACATAGTGAGTACACTGCAGTGCATGAATAACAATCTGTAATTAAAGATAGAAGAGAGTTAGATAAATACATCAGTAAGAACAGTGACAAGCCATATTCACTGATTAACTTAAATTCACATTTTAATTACAAACCTGTTCGGGCATGTCTCCGTTTTCAATCCCAGTTTTCAATAACTTGTAGTTGCAACCAAACAAGTCCCATCTCGACAAGTCATGAGCACTGGCAAAAGGAGAAAAAACACACAAAATGTAACAAAATGAATACCTATTTTTACACTAATTCTGGAATTTAATGTTTATTAAATATATTGCTTTTAAGTGTCCTCATGAAAAACACAAAAAAAAATCAGTTTAACTTGCCAGTAAATAATAAACACACTTTTGTAAAAATATAGGCTGTAAACACAATTGATTCATCTTCTATTCGAGGTCTGCCAACATCATATATATCTGCATGTTATCTACACAGAACAGAAGTAAGCTCCACACAAAATTATAATGTGATCAATTTAGTACACCAGCATACGAGTGCGAAAAGCAAGATTTTCAGCATACATTTCACTTACTTGTGAAAAGCAGTGATTCTTTTTAATGTTGATAGGACCTGATAAGCATCATCTTCATCGGGTTCTTCCCCCTGTAATTTATACGCAAAAAAGTTTCCAATAAAGTTAACAACATCAATATGAAGAAACCAACATTTTTGAATGATTTCAAACACATACATACATACATATGCTAGGAGAAGTTCAGTTACATGATACAGAACACCTAGGATATGGTATAAGAGTTATCAATTTTCTTATTTCAGGGAAACTAGTAACCAGATAAAGTTATTTAAGTTTGCCACATGAAATGTTAGCCTAACTGGACAAAAGTATGCTCTAGAGGAGTTTCAATTTTCTCTGCAGAGTCCAGCAGAGGCCACTGTCAGATAATAGATACTGGAGCAGATTGCTCATTGGTCAATATTGATACAGCAAGTATTTCGACCTAGGCAAAAAACATACAAAAAACTTCAGTCGATTAAACCTTTTAGCAACATACCCTGATTCACCCCTGAAAAGTTCCCTGGGCCAGCCTAATACCTGTATATCCCTTGCATGACAATTCACACAAACAGGTAATTACAAACAGTCAGTCACCAGGCAGCTTCAGTTACCAAAACAGGCAAGGTACAGACATTTGTTTCTACTGGGTAAAATTTCTTGGAAAATTTGCCTGATAAAAGTCCTTCTGGGAAGAGGGAGCAGAAGAGATATTTAGCATGCAGCCACCTGCTCTCTCATGCTCTTCGTGCCATCCCAAGAACAGGGTGGGGAGGAGTGGTCTTCAGGAGCAGAGTACTGGGGGAAAGCCCCCAGTCCGTTCCCCAAGCAGAGCAGTGTCTGGCTTAAGGAAGAGTCAGGGAACAGAGGTGGCTGCTCTCCTTTTCTAACTGGACTGAAGGGAAGGGAAATGAGGCACAACCCACAGCCCTTTCCCCAAGACAGGGGGCTGTGCTGTGCTGCTTTCCTCACCACCCAGACGAGGGAAGCAAAGAGAAGCAGTGGTGCAAAGGTTGTTCTCCACTCTACTCCCAGTCTCAGGAAACAGTGGTGCAAACCCTCGCCTGTCTCTAACTCCTGAGACTCAACTGTGAGAAGCAGGCAGGGGTCTTGCAGCACTGCTCCTTCTGCTCAGCTTCCAGTGTGGGGGGCTGAGTAGACAGAGGAATGGGGCAAACCCCCTGCCCACTCCACATACCTGGGACTCCAGTATGAGGATGGGCAGGGGCTTTGACTCACTACCCCAGGAAGAGCCTCCCTGAGCCCATTTCCCTGTACGCTGGTTTCCCCTTCCTTCTCCTGCCACAGAGCTGCGTGGTAGAGGCAGAGATTTAAAGGCTAGCCATGCTTAGAGAAGCTTTCCCCACCCAGACTGAACAGCAAGGAGTGGGGAACAGGAAATCAGCAGGGGAAAGAGATGCTTCTTGCACTTGGCAACTGGTGGCCCGGAGCAGTGGGGCAAAGCCCCTGCCGCCTCCTCGCACTGAGAACTCTGGCTTGAGAAGCAGACTCCCTGCTGCTCAGCTCCCAGTGCCCAGCAGCCAAGCAGAGGAAACCGCATGGCAAAGCTTTTCACACCAGGAACTTCAGTGTGAGAAGCAAGGGGGGTGCTGGTGGCTGCTCCTCCCCTCCCAAGTCCATAAGCGAGACAGGAGCAGCTGGTTCCCATGCCATCTCAAGACTGGAGTCACCCCAGTCCCAAGGTGGCACAGAAGCCTTTTCCCCTAGCCCCCAGGGGGAGTGAACCTGGGAGGAAGTGTAGACACTCAGCCTCCCAGGAGAAATTCTCCTTGGAATGACTTAACCTTGGTTATTCCTGGAGTGGCCACTTTTGCTCTGGGAACAAAAAAACAAAACCTGGATGTCTGCACACACCTGGTTTCCACCAGAACAACGATTCTCCTGGTAGAAACTGGACATCTATATGTACCCTTCGCTTTAAAGAAGCAGAATCAAGGAGGAAAAATGGTCTCACTCCAGAGAATTATAAAACAACAAGAACAATTAAGTAGTAAATAGTACTTTGCCCTCTAGCTTTCCTTAGAAAGCAAGTTAATTGGAGTTGTATGCATGTTTCCTGCCTGCTTCCATGAGATAGGCACAAACGTTTGGGACTCTAAGGGCATGTCCAGATGAGGGTGAATGTGTGGTATGCAGTGCTGCAGAGCCGTCTGCAGTACTGCATATGCAGGTGTTCCTTGCATTGCTAATTTGCAGTGTGGGGGGTGGTTTCTGACACAGAGATCCCAGATAAAAAACAAACAAACCTACACCTAAAGAAAACAGGGCAGGGGCATGTGGCAGCAGCACGTGCCACCCAGAACTGGAACTGCTGTAGGATCACTGCAGTTGCAGCTCCAGGAGCTCAGGTAAGGCTGCTGGGGCCAGCACAGTTGCTGAGCACACGTGGCACAGATGTTCCCTGGGGGCAAGCAGCAGGGCCACACACTGTGCTGTGGTTTGTCCCCAGGGAAAAGCACGTTTCCGCCCATGGGGATACATCCTAAGAGGGTAAACAGGGGTGCAGGAAGGACCCTACAGCACACCTTCATGAGCTAACCAGACAGCAGAACAGCAGCGAGGACTCGAGAGTAAGAGCCATTAGCCACTGAAGCTCTTCTCATTGTTAGCACACATGAGAAGTAAAAACTCAAAAAAAAAAAAAATGACTTAAGATCCTAGTTTATTTTCAAGGACGGGATTTTGTCATCATGTTATATGGCTGCACTTCTGTGGTGGTGATTGAAACACTTCTGAAAAAAACTATTCTGTTCTTTTCTCTTTTAAAATATTAAAAGATATAGCACTCCCACCACTTCTCTTGGGAAACAATTCCAGTATTTTATACATCCTTCCAGTGCTCCATCATACTTCTGAATACCATAATTAATACATTGATGCCCCCTGTGTTTTCCTCCCACTGTTATTTGAACAACAGTGGAATACGATTTATTATCTAAACATAGAAATGAGCAGAAAAAGGTGATTTTAGGCTTAATGTATTATAAGCAATTTATTAAAAACAAATAAAAAAAGACCAAATACAACATAATCATATAATGCATGGATGTCAGTTACTAGAGTTGCTTGCAAAGTCTGTGAATTTTGGAACACTGTCATTTAAAAATTACACTTCATATAAAATGAAGTGATAAAATAATTTACGTAAAAAAACCAAAATCAAACAAACAAAAAACCCCCTTTAAGCAGCTTGTAACCCCACCAATACTTAAATTATAGTAGAAGAGTAGGCAGAAATACCTGTAACTTAATATCATACAAATTGGCTTGGTTCACTCCATGTTATAGTCAGTAAATATTCATCTCTTCATGTTATATGGTGATGATGTAATTACTTTTCAAGTTTTTGTTTCCCAATTAGAGGGAATGTAATTCCCCTTACTTGGCAGTTCATGCAATAAGGCAGCAAGGACAGAAATGGTTAACCTTGTTAAACTGAAGTCAGGACAGAGTGGCACCTCAGAGACTAACTGGTTCAGAGAGGCATGAGCTTTTTATGGCAGCAACATAGCATCTGAGGAAGCAGGCTGTTGCCTGTGAAAGCCCATTCCTTTTTGAACGAGTTATTCTTTAAGGTGTAACTCTGCCTGACTTTCTACCAGTAAGGCAATAAGAAAATGAAGGCGTTAAAAGACTAGAAAAAGAGGGTCATACATATTACATACCTCTTGCAGGAAGTCTTCAAGAAGTCTATTAAACTTGTCTGCCAATTCATCTATTAACTGACTTCTTGCAATGTCAACTCTGTTAAAGATAGTGAACTCTTCATTACAGAGTGCATGGTATGTTTTAGAACATGCTTCCAAAACATCTGTATCTGTGTGCTTCTCTACAATATCCCGGATCTGTCGCAGTAAGGCATCCAGATGCTACAAAAGTAAAATCACAACTTCATAAAAGGCTCATTAAAATAATGTTCCAATTGTAGCAGCAAGATTTTTATGCTTGTTTATTACTTTTATGATTGTATCACATAAAACATAAAGCACTGTTCTAGACAACTTGATCTTTAGAGTAGGAGCGATCTGCATCAGTACACATATTAAGGTGGAACTTGGTGAAGACTACAAATTTAACATATACAAAACCCAACTTTGTTGAATACACAGCACTGGAGCTGGAGTTACAGTTCCTGAAGAATGAAGCTTGGAGAAAAAATTGAGGCCCTTAGTTGGGATGAAGAAAGAATTCTGTGCCTGGCTCTTTTCTTCTTCTCTCCTAAGTTACCAAGATGTGGGGTAACAGAGGTTGTGCTCAAGAGCAGAACACTGAGCAACCACTTGCCATACCATAGCAGAACTGAAATGATCTGCTCCCAAACTATCTGGACTATCAGCAGCAGAAAGCTGCATTTATTTCTCAGGCAAGATAGGTTTGGTCTTGCTTACAAAAGAATCTTCAAGAATAGGGAAAGTGAGTAACATGCAGAGTAGCATTATGATATACAATCCTACACAGTAAGAGTGCTCATATTTTTAAGAATATGGTAATTTTGTTTTCCTTTCTGCAGCCTCAATGTAAAAAAAGAATTAGGTGGTAGGCAGAACTGCCCCATCACTTACACCACCAGCTAAGGTATCTGCAAAGGCACATGAAGTGTGAATATGGTGCCAATGGATGCCATTATTGAAAAGAACCAGTATTGCACAAGGCTGAGTCGTATACCTTAGGTATAACCCATATTTGGGGAGGAGGGGGGGAAATTGCTCCAAATAACACACTAGTAAAACTTTTCACTATGGAACTATACACATCATCTCTTATATGCCATACTGATGTTTTATTAAGTATTTGTACTGTAAGAACATTTACTCTAAAGATATTTCTCCAAAGCATGATGTTCACAGTTCAGTTCAAATTGAACAAGCTGGCTCAGACATTTCTGCAAAGCACTACATTGTGTCACTTAGATGCACCTTAAGTTTAACAGAAGGGTCTCCTGCCACACTGTGACAATACATGGTATTTTCTTACAGACATGCACCTTTTTCCCCTCCAAAAGGGGGATGAGACTGTGTATAATATGCCAGGAAATACATTAAAAACAATTTCTCCCAATTACTGGGTGAAAGCAAAAGGAAAGCCTTCAAATGATCCACAGAAAACAATGAGCAGGTTTGGCTTCCTTGCTGCTGCTATTCAGTTACTTACTAGAAGGAAAAGTTCTTTTTTTCTTCATTGTGCCATTCAAAAACAAGTTGTGTACTTTATTCTGGGGCATTCTGTATGTGAGAATATACAGCAATACAATACAAGGGTTTCTCACCACACAATGCATCTCAGGCTCAAATGTAGTACATTTGCTACCCTAATGTTTGGATGTTCCTCATGAAGTTTGCCTAACTGGATTTTGGGAAAGCAGCCCTCAAAACTCAGAAAGTCAAACCTAGGTTTTCAAAGCATCTTGAAAAATAACCAGAAAAAGGCTCATTTACACTGGTAGATACTACAGGTCTCTTACTCCATCCTTACAATTTTGTTTTTATGATACCTTACCTTTTCTAATCGCCCTGTTGTATAGATTTCCAAATCAAAATACTGCGGTAACTGTAACAAGTTGGTGACTTTTTCTGCATCCACAGAATACTGTCAAATTAACAAAAATAATTAATTAATTAATTAATCAATGAAACGGTTTCTGGGATTTTTGTATACTTCTGCTATATTAACAACTGCATAATATCCAGGTACTATTAAAAACTATAAAGAAACGAAAAGTTTCTAACACATTGCAGTCTGAATGACACACACACTTTTGGAAACATACACCATTTGGATATTGTTTTTACAATATACAACCACAAAGTTCAAATAAAATTAAACTCACTTTTGCTAATAACTGAGGAAGTGCCACTGCAAAGAGCTCTGTAATTCTTGTCCTGTCATCCAACTGCGTTTTCTTTTCCTTTGCTGTCAGCACCTAAATTATTGATATAAAATTTTATAACTAAAAAAAAAATCTTAGATATCACCGTTTCATATTTTTAGGGACTTGATAAAGCACTGGACTCTTGACTTAATCCTAACGTTTAAAATGATATCCACTTAAGCCAAATTTTGAAGTAGTCAATCACTTTACTTCAGGGAGTTTGCTTCAGAGCAAACACCCTAAAATCTGGACGACTGAGTTTCCACTAGAAAATGCACGATCCACATAATGCCACTAAGGTTGCTACTTCAATTTTCAGAGTAGTCTATGATAGTTTACCACTAAGCAGCAAAAAAATTCAGCACAGGAAGTCTGTCAGTCTGATTATAATTTTTATACATTTTTCCTGTTTTATAAACGCAATTCAGTCTTCTAATCCAAATGAATTTGTAAACGCACATTTGAATGACTAGGTAGATGCACCTTTCCAACAATCGCCCATTCACTGAAATTAGTGTTTGAGATTTTGGGGGGGGGGGGGACGGACACGACGGGACGGGACGTAGCAATATGGTCACAGTCAAGGACAACTATAGGAAGTTGTGGTTTAAGTACTTCAAAAAGACCATGAACCATTTCCTTCTCCCTTATTTTGCTGATACTCCTCAGGTAGAAAGAGGTATTGGCTTCTGAACAGATACTAGGGATAAATTGTTTTGAAAAAAACCAAGGAGCAAACCAAACAGAAATGACTTTCAGGATTGTGGTAACAAGAAATGTGGTTTCTCAAACAGGAGTGTAAATATATTCAGTTTAAGAAAATGTATTAAATATTGTTAAAAGTTTAATGTGAAAATGAGGCAGCCAAGTGTTGGTTATGTATAAAATTCAGAAAAGCCATTTCTTCAGTTTCGGTAAGCAGGAACAGTTTCTTATACTCTAAACATGTACTGAACAAAACAATTTTCATCTAGCTTAATCGAGTACTGAAACTGTTAAGAGAAGTGAAGTAGAAAGATGTGAACACCAAAATATTGTGAACAAAATATTTAAAATACAAAATTATAGATTTACACAGTCTCTCTGCAGCACATACCCTTTTCCCTGTTCCTCTTCCCACAGGTGGATGGCATTCAGCTGCTTGTCGAATTGTACAAAGCATTATTTCAATCAGTGCACTTTCTTGTCTATCTGTTAAAGCTGAAATAAAAAAAAAAGAAAAAGATGTGCGGTCTGTCTTATTTACTATTTTCTCACAATTAGAGGAAAAGCACCAAAAACCTGTTCTGAATTCCCTACATAAATCAGCAAAAAATGTAAGCCAAAGCCCTGATCCTGCAAGATGGGTATTTTTGTGTATGTACATTAGTAGCTCTGAGGTTGCATTATAGAACCATTTTTACAGAGATCAAGAGCTACTCACATGTAACCAAAGTTTTACAAGATTACCTCTTCACACTACAAGGATGCGGTAACTTCGCACTACAAGGATCAGTAGTACAGCTTGGAACAGTGGAACCGTCTAACTAGAGCACTCTCACAATCTCTGCTCCTCCTTCCACCACAGCTCCAATTATGGACTGGCTGTCATCTCCATTCCTTCCACCACTGAACTCGGGTCCAATATTTAAATGAAGACTAAGAGGGGAAGGCAGACTGGTTCATCTTAAAAGAACTCTGGTTACATTTCACATGCCTCAATGGGATTCTGCTTATTCCCACTCTTGGAAGTTTGGCAAATGGCAAACATTGCGAGGATGCTAAAGACTACTTCAGCAAATTGCACAGCTGATCTAGAGACCAGATCTAAAGAACACTTCACAAGTACAAACACAGCACCAAACAGCAACTCAACAAAATTTTAAGATGAAAATACATGAAGTATTGAAGCAGCTGCATCTCAATCAAGCACGTGCTTGGATCAGACATGCTTAGATCACTGTAATGCATAAACTAACCTACTTAGAAAGGCATTGCTATGTGGTAGTTTATGCTTTACCCCCCTGTACCCACCACCCCCTGTCGGACAAAATTGGAGATGGTTTCCTATTGTCCTCAGATGTATTTGAACCTAAAATTAACACCCTTGTTCTGGTTTCTGAGGGAAATCCAAATGACCTTAACTATAATTTTTGTTTCAAGCTACCTGCGGATACACGAGCTCTAGAACGCAGCACAAAGAGTCACGACAGAAACCCCCAGGGTACCCTAGTAACTGACCTTTAGCAATAAGGGGGTTATCCAATTTTCTCTAATGTTTTATCAGTGACAAGGCAAAATATTTGCTCTCTCAGACTCTTGTTCTCCAGACACTATCATCTGTGAGCATGTCCCCAACTCCAGTTGTGGCAGGGGAAAACCTTCTTTCTTGGAGCATCTAGCTGCTTTGTCCTGTATAAGACAGGGTGTACTTGATGGTACAAACCCTTGGGATGGTATCCACCCCTACTAAGGATACTGACACAAGGTGCATTTGGAAGAACAAGAAGCCCATGGGAGAAAGATGATACAACTCTGATAGCACTGATCCAGATAGATCAGCTCTTACATTTAAAGAGCAAGTCTAATAATTCTTTTTAAAAGAAACCCTAGAAGTCAGTTTCTTTGAATATTACTAACTTTATGCTAATGTTAAGTTCACAGTACTGGAACATATCTCATGAAGCAGAAGATGGCAGCCCTACATTGTCATCTTGTGACATCTGAACATCCAGATCTATATAAATGTCCATAGGTTTGACAGGCACTCCTATTCTCAAAAAGCACACCTGGGACAATGCAACAGCCTATTCCTACAAATTCTTGTCCAAAGACATGGATGAGGTTTCTTGTTGGCTTTCCTCTGTGATTGGAAGGAACTAAGACAATCGGCACACTAATGCTCCTTTTCACAGGCTTGTTATCCAAGCACTCAGAAAAAGGGAGTCCTCAACAGCACTGCTATTAAGAGGTTACACGGGCCCACGATGTACTACCATCATGGCCCACAAGCACAGTATGTAGAGTCTAGGCTTCCCGGAAAACTAAGTGTAGAAACGCTTATCATTAGCATTTACGATTTTATCAGGCAGAAGCGCACGTCTTTTTCTTTACAGGCAGTCCTCGACTTACAACCTTTATAAACTGACACCTGTTTAAACTTTCTGACATCAGTTTCAACTTTACGATGCTTGATCCGACACCACGCCAGCGAACAGGTTCACTGGAGAATATCTGTCCAAACTTCCTTGGACACTTTCTTTAAGAAAGCAGCCAAGTCTCCAGAAAAACCTGCAGCCAAGACTCCTGAGAAGACTCCAGCCAAGAACCCTTCAAAAGTCCAACCAAGAGCCCTTCAAAAATTCCAGCAAAAGCACCTCAAAGTCCTTCCAAACCAATATGATTGCTATTTACAATATAAATACATTAACATAGCTATATTATTCATCTATAATTGACTGAGTACAAAATTCTGGGTTATTTTTGGTGAAAATAGGGTATCGGGCCTTGGTTCAGGAACCAATGCCCCATTTATAACATTGTTTCCTATGGGAAAATTGGCTCCGAGTTGCAACGTTTCGACTTAAGACACAGTTTTCAGGTACCAATTTTGTTGTAAGTCCAAGGACTGCCTGTATTTTTTGAAGGATCAAGCTTGTTTAATTAGCCGATCTAACTGCAATTCCTCTTGCTGCTTTTACAGAGGATGACGTGCTACAGAAGAAGCAGAAATCTTCTCATACTTGTCTTCTACTTGTTAGGAAAACTGCCATGGAACAAACAGTAGGCACTGGGATAGCAATTTTAAACTACTACTGAATTGTGTTATTTATACTTTTCAATTATTTCTATAATCAAAGAACTTTGGGAATTTTAATTTCTCAACATTTTTGAGACTCTAATCAATCACTAATGCTAATTATAATTTAATGGCACTGTGTACAGAGTTAATTTGTAGCAATATGAAGTCAGGCAAAATGTCAGAAGGAAGAAGGCAGGAACTAAATGCTAATGGAAACAATTTTTTAGGAGGTTTGCAGGACTGCATTATGCAAGATCACTTAAGAAGTGATGTTGGGATATTTAAGTAGTACAAAATACTGTATTTATTCAATGCCAAGATGAGGTCCCTCCCCTCATCCCCCCGCTTTAACATAGGG